AGTAATATTAAAGGCCTTTAACTATAGTCAAATAGACTGGACTTCTCTGATCGGTAATTTGGAGTCCAGTGACTACCTGGAAGTAGTTCAGGACCGCTTTTTTAAGCGATCCTGAAGTAAGGAAACCCTCGTAAATAATATAGAAATCACTGAAGATCTCAACAGTACAGGGAGGTCCATGGAGTAAGGGTAATGCAAATTAAAGTCCCCGATTTTCCATTGGCGATTGTTATAGTGGACATGGGGAAAAACTCCTGTCTTAATTGATTCAAAAAAGGACACGTGGTGCAGGACCTTCAGGGGATATTTATTAGGACAACGTCTTAGTGTTTTTCTCACATGTTTTATCAAATAAATTTGTATCAGTTACCTAGATTTGTGCAACACCACTCTAGCTTTCGCTGGGGTTATCTGGCTATTGCTTCTTATGATGATATACATCTTACAGTAAACGAAAGGATCTCAAATATGATTTTTTCTTATGTACAGTGACCATATATAACATATTCCCAAAGAGAGAAATTAGACTAAATAAAAAAATCCCAAATTGATAGATAAGCTTAGACAAAAAGCATTTACTAGGAGAGAGGGCAAATTTATAGGCGCTGCAAAAGGGTTAATAATAACCATATATGTTCGTATCAAGAGAGATGTAAAGAAGGGGATTATAAAGGATAAGCGCAACTATAAAATTAAGGTAGCTAGTAAATCAAAGAATTTTTTTTTATATATATGACAAAGGCCAGGGTAAAAATAGGGCCACTGAGAAATAGGAAATGTGCTCTCTCTTTAAGTTACTTCTTGTCAGTCTTCGAGCAAAAAAAAAACATATAGGATACCCCAGCAATTGAGTATTATTCAGGTCCTGAAGAACACGAATTTAATATGTACATATCACCACGAGGGCCATAGTTACCAAACAAGTAGATAACTAAAACAAAAATAAGTTCTCGGGATTTGACGAACTGTTTTCAAGGAGATAAGCAAGACGGATGTGCAGTAGTTAGGTATCTTCATTCCGAAAATTTTCGCCTGCCTAGCAGACTTTGTCAGTTGAATACAGAGGTTACATATGTGGAAACAGCAGAAATAATGGAGCTCTAAAGATAACAGTTCATCAGCCTAGTAGTAGTAGTTTGAGGTAGTCACCTCTTCAAGGGGGGCTCCTTGACATGGCAAAGAGGCTCTTGGTCTCAGGAATCAAATCCTTTTGTGTCCTTCCTTAGACCAAACCTAAGTATCCCCCCCAATCCTTCCTTCCCTATCCCTTCCTCCCCATACCCCCCTTTTTTCTCTTCCCTCCCCTTTTTCCCCATCCTGTTTGTTGCCTCTGGGGTCCTCCCCTCTGGCATTATGGTTTCTAGGTGGGGTGTGGCGTGCTGGGGTTCATCCCCCTCTGTAAGGTCCTTCAGGGGTGGTGTGGTTTGCCGTGGAATCTGAATTGTCTGAGGATGCCCTGCTTCCTTCCCAGATTTCCGGGTTGTGGGGTGGTGCCCTTTGGATGATGGTTGAATCTCTGGAAGCTGCCTGTCGGTTCTGGGGGTGGTGGCAGCCAAAGGAGGTATGCTTTGTGGTGGGTTTCTGACCATCCTTTCTTTTGTCTGCCGAGGTAGCTCAGTGGATGTGAGGCTGCTATCCCGGAGTGCTGTGCCATACCCTACCCTTCATGCCAGTAGGCATGAAGGGTAGGGTATGGCACAGGTTCCATGCTGCATCTTCACTGCCAGTGGGCTCGAGGCCCCCTCGGATGAGGGGAGGAGCTTTTGGCCCCTCCTTGCCTCCTAGTGACTGTCCCTCTGCTGCCCCTCTTTTTTTTTTCTTAAAATAACAAGAAAGATATTACAGAAGATGCACCTATTATTATGGAGTCTTTGCCCTGTGAAACCCTTCCTCCTCCCAGGCCCCATTCTGATCCCACACCCTGTTCTGACCCGGCTTCGTTATCGGACCATTCTCTCGACTTCTTATACCCCTGTACCTTCTGCAGGTGATGCTTCGTCACCTGCTTCAGGTGCTGTGGCATCACCCGTTTCTGTTCATCCTGCTGCTTCTAGCACACCTTTCACAATGCATCTGACTTCACCGAATACGGTGCTACAGTTCTCAGATCGACCACCTCCCTCAGGTCAGACCACCCACAGTTCTACCTCTAAGTGTCCAAGACAACCTACTGATGACAGTTCCTCGATGACCACTCAAAAATGACCTACAGGACACTCACTGCCTTTGCATACCGAACTAACGAGTACGCAGTGGACAAAATTCTTTTCTTTACAAATGACGTCTCAGACTGATTATCTTTCTGGTCATGGAATTGGTAAAACTTTTATGGCACGTTGGCCAAAATATATCCTTCCATGCTCTTCGAAGCAGTGCAAGTGTCGTAACAGTGCAGAATTCAGAGCAAGCTTATGCTCTCTCCTGCATCACTTCCACAGATAACATACCAGTCACCATTCATAAGCACGCTTCTCTTAATTCTTGCAGTGGTACCGTGGTCTTACTGGGTACCATTGTACAGAGTGATTTTTTGTCTTGCGGCGAGGATATTTTAGAACAATTAGCCCTTCAGAACCTTCTTATTTTCAAGGTAGACATGTGCATCCTGCCTGCTCATGGGCAGAGGCGTTTTCCTAGTAGCATCGCTCGTTTAACCTTCGACTGCCATGAACTTCCGTCCTCTGTCTGTATTGTGGGACATCGCCTAGAGTTCTGTCAAGTAGTTCCCACTCCCCAACAGTATCATAATTGCTGACATTTTGGACACCCGGCTAAACACTGCAGATCTACGGCGGAATGTCCGGTCTGCGGTGCAGCAGATCATTCCAGTATGTTGTGTAGTCTTCCCCCCTTTTATCTCAATTGCAGGAAACCTCATCCTTCCTTTTCACGCCAATGCCAGGCTTATCGTAATGAATGAGAGATCCATTATCCTAGGGAGCGTGAGGGCCTCATGCTATGGCTGCCTCTCAGCTCCACCTTCAAGGTAAACTCCCTCGTGTCCGTATGCTCGGGTAGCCCAAAGACCTCCAACCTCAACGGTTTTCCTGCCTCCCTATCCCTCTGCATCTGTGTCTTCCGGGGTCACCCCAGTTTCTAAATGTTTTGCAGTTTTATCCTCTGGCACTCCTACCTCCACACCACTTCCTACTACTATTACTTCATCTCACCCCCTTGCTTCTCATTCTACAAGACCTCGCAGACCTACACTTTCTTCACGTCCATCACTTACAAAGACTATATCTCCTACCTCGGAGCCTCATTCTCACCCTCTTTCCAGCTCTCACACAAAAGTAGAGGTTCACCCTTCCCCCTCATGTAGTCCCCTCTTCCCCAGTTCCCCTCTCCTATCTTCATCCATAGTTACCCTCCAACCTCCTTCCTCTCCTGTTACTCTGCAGGCCTCTTCTACCCCAGCCGACGCATCTCTCCAGGGTCATACTCCCTGCCCCCCTCAAACTTCTTTAGTTGCCTCCGTAGTTACTTCGACCTTTCCTTGCAATGCCTCTCCTGTCTCTGACATCATGGCATCGTTGGCTTCCTTAACAACAGAGACATTAGAAGCTATCTCCAGCTATATTGTGGAAACGACACCCCCGATGGACTCCAACTGACTCCTCCTACCCCTTATATTTCACGACCCATGCAACAATCTATTCCTCCACAACATTCACATTCTTCCTTGCTTACATGCTTACTGTTACCCCCACACATTGACTTTACAGATGCTAAAAGCCCATAGGTTTTATTGTTTCTTATTGTTGCCAATCTTATTTCTGTACATAATGTCTTTTACAATGGAATATTCGTGGGCTTAGGGGTAATCGAGGAGAACTCCAAGTGTTGCTCTCCCATTTGTCCCCAGTATGTGTTGGGTTGCAAGAGCCCAAAATTCGTTCTGCTGTCATTCGTCCCGTTTCGAGCTACATGCTATTACATTCTTCAGATCCTTTACCTGATGAATCACTTTATGAAAGCGTGCTTCTTGTGCGTGTTGATAAACCATATCAGCAAGTTATTTGTTCCCTGCTGCATTATACTGCAGCTTGGATTTATTTACATAGATGGTTTACAGTTTGCTCTCACTATCTTTCTCCTTCCCATGCATTCTGTATCTCTGATATTGTGTCCTTAATTTCTTCTCTACCGCCGCCCATCTTGTTGTTGGGTGATTTTAACGCTCGCTATCACCTGTGGGGAGGGTCCCACTGCGACTCATGGTGATCAGTTGGAGGCTCTTCTCGCTTCTCATCCTCTTCATGTTTTAAATACAGGTGCTCCTACCTATTTTGACTCTCGCACTTGGTCTCTCTCCTGCATTGATCTTTCTATCTGTTCCTCGCCCATTGCATTTGATTTCATGTGGTCTGTTCTTACAGATTTACATGGTAGTGATCACTTTCCTATCCTTCTTATTTCTACTAAATGTACCTGACCGTTTCATAACCCTCGTTGGCAATTTGCTTGAGCAGATTGGGACTTACACTCCCATCTTACCATCTGCTGTGAGGACCCCCTTTTGTCGTCTGTTGATGAACTGGTGCACCAATTTTCGACCTTAGTCCTAACTGCAGTGACTCATTCTATCCCCCAGACCTCGGGTAGGCATTCTCAGACATGCATACCTTGGTGGTCTACATGCACCCGCACAGTGCATTTAAAATGTGCTGCATGGGACCATTATTGATATAACCATACTGCGGAGCGTCTGTTGGATTTTAAGCGGGCAAGGGCAGTTACTTGCCGCGTCATACGTGATGCTAAACACGCTTGTTGGCGAGACTACGTGTCTACCATTACCTCTTCTTCCCATGTGTACGATTTGGAAGGAAGGTGTGGAAATTGTGTGGTAAGTACACTCCGGACCCAGCTCCCGTTTTGCGGGTTGCTGGAGTTGATGTCGCAGAACCATTAAAAGTTTCCACAGAAATCGGGAACTGTGTTGTCCGTATCTCCCGAGGGCTTCACCTCTGTCCCTCACTTCTTGCGTCTAAACCTACCTAAGAGCAATTCCCTTAGATTTTTCCTCCGATGGATTGGAGCCGTATAACATACCTTTTGCTTTTATAGAATTAAGAGTCCATGCTTTCCATGTGCCAGCCATCGGCACCGGGACCTGATGATATCCACATCAGTGTGCTACACCATCTCTATTCTATGGCCCTTCCCGTTCTTTTACATCTTTTCAATCTAATTTGGGAGCTAGGGGTTCTCCCACAACACTGGAAGTCAGTTACTGCACTACCGTTTCGCAACCGGGCACCTCGGGGCTTGACACCTCTCACTATCGTTCCATTGCCCTGACCAGTGTGGTCTCCAAGGTGATAGAACGATTGATGAATAGACGTCTGATGTGGTTCTTAGAGAGACACAATAGCCTTTCCCCTCGCCAATATGGCTTTCGCAAAGGCCACTCTACTTTAGACCCCTTGCTCCACTTTGATACATATATTCGAAATGCCTTTGCTAACAGCCACTTTGTCCTAGCGGTCTTTTTTGATCTTGAGAAGGCATATGACACCACTTGGAGGTATAACATTCTAGCCCATGCCCACTCCTTAGGCCTCCGTGGTAATCTACCAAACTTCATTGCTGCTTTCTTATCCGATAGACATTTTTGGGTCTGTATTGACGCCTCGCTTTCCTCGGACTTTGTACAAGCCAAGGGAGTCCCACAAGGTTCTCTTAGCTATAAATGACCTACCTTCCATTGCATATTTGGTCATCACTTTATGTTGATGAGTTCGCTATAGCTTACTCGGGCACCGACTGTTGACTAGTAGCAGCCTCCATTCAGGTTGTGATAGACTGAGTCTCCCATTGGACCACTTCTCATGGCTTTAAATTTTCCAGTGCGAAAACCCGATTCATTACCTTCACTAGACACTCGCTTTTACCAGATACTCCCTTGTTTCTGGGCCTGCTCTTTGATCACCGGCTGACATGGAGACCTCACATTTCTTCGTTAAAGACAGCTTGCCATGGTCGGCTAAATCTTAAATCCTTAAGGTTCTCGCAACTCTGTCAAGTTAGATCCTATTCGTCACCAAGGTCGCCGTCTGTGCCTTGGTGCATTTCGTTCATCCCCGGTTGAGAGCCTATATGCAGAAGCGAATTTTTCATCCTTGTCTGATCGCCATGATGCTCATTGCCTTTGCTGTTATGTTCAATCTCATGACCTCTACAATCCTTCCGTATATAGGATAGTCACTGATGTTAGTAGACGTTCTTTATTTGTTTGTCACCCCTGTTTACTCTGTCCCTTTTTTCTCCACCTACATTCACTCTTGTCTTCTCTTCAGTTACCACCTCTCTATGTTCATGTAGCATCTCACTTTTCCCTACCCCCCTTGGGAAGTTCCAGCTGTTCATGTCTCTTGTTTCCCACTGCCATGGGCGAAAGCCCAACTAGCTACGGTGGCTTCCCGCTCTCTTTTTCTTGATCACTTCTGCTCTCATTCTCATGCCATCGAAGTGTACACCGATGGTTCTGAGTCTTCTGATGGCGTTGGATTCGCAGCAGTGTTTTTGGATAGTGTCATGCGAGGGCACTTATTACCCTCGGCTAGCATTTTTATGGCAGAATTGCATGCCATTCTTGTGGCACTTACCGGTATTGCATCTATGCCGGTCACCATTTGTGGTCATTTCAGATTCCCTTAGTGTTTTACAGGCTATACGGAAATTTGATACACCTCACCCCCCAGTTCTTCGTATCCAATTATGGTTACACCATATCTCTAACAAACAGAGATGTTGTTTTTTGTTGGGTCATTGGTCATGTTGACGTACAGGACAATGAACAGGCAGACACTGCTGTGCGGTCAGCAGTTCGCAGTTTCATATAGAGATGTTCCATTCACAGACTATTTTGCTGTAATTGCACCCATTGGCAACAAAGTTGGTCTGATCTGCTCCATAACAAACTTCATTCTGTTAACCCCTTCAGGGTCCAAGGCCAAAATCTGAAGTGGTGCTCCAGTGTCCAAGAAACTTTGAAAAAATAATAATTTTTTCTTACAGAATTAAAGAGTATATTTTTGTAAAGGTAATGAGACAAAAAAAAATTCTGATCAGTACTTACCGAGATACAGCGGCGGGAAGTTGACCCAAAATGACCGGGTGGCGGCAACATCAGTGGCTTCAGCAAAATCCCATTTTTTTATTTTACGTTTTTTATACTTTTTTCTTTTCTTTTCTAATTTTTTTTGTTTTTCTAATAACATTTGTGGCCTATGAGACCAGTATAATGTATATTGTATAAGTGTACACTCATTGTATTCAACACTATAACTGCACTAATTTATCATTATATTGCTTACAAAACTTGTTTACAAGTTTATTGTAAACAAAATGATGAAAAATATTAGTGCGGTTGTGTTGAATACAACGGTACCATATAGTACCATATGGTACAATGGTGCCATAGGGTGCAATGGTACCATATGGTACAGTGGCACCATATATGGTACAATATGGTACAATGGCACATGATACAATGGTACCATATGATAGTGGTACCATATGGTACAATGGCACCATTTGGTACAATGGTACCATATGATACAATGGTACCATATGGTAAAAAGGTACCATATGGTGAAAGGGTACCTTAGGGTACCAAAAAATGCAATGGTACATTAGGGGTACATTGCCCCATACTTTACAACACCATATTGAAATTGTACCTTTTAGTACAATGGCACCATCTGTTTCCAAATGGTCCCTTATGGTAAAAATGGCACATTTAAAATGGTCCCATATGATAAAAGGGTTTACCTATGGTACAAGGGGTTCCTTTTGGTAAAAATATGGTACAAAGGCACATTATACAATGGAAACCATATGATTCAAGGGTCCCTTTTTGATACAATGGTACCATTTGGTAAAATTGGTACCATTTGGTACAATGGTCCCATAGGGTTGCAATGGTCCTTATGGTCCATAGGGTAGCATTGTATCTTTTGGGTTTCCCATATGATGAAAATGGACCTTAGGGTTTCATTGTCCATAATTACAAATGTTTACCTTTAGGGTTTCCCAATTTTTCCATATGGTATTTTTGGGTTTAAAAACAAAATTTAAAAAAACACTAATATTTTTCTTTATTTTTTGTTTACGTAGTTTTTTTACAACAAAAATATGCAAAAATGTTATTATTAGAAATTTGTTCTTTTATTATTTAAAAGTGTACAGGCTTGCGTGTTTTCCTTTAGGTGGGGGGGGCAAAGCACTTTGTCTCGGGGAAAAGCGGAGTCAGTAGCAGCTTGTGTCGCCCCTCAATCAGGCTTGGTTTGGGGTCTCATGCCACCAACACTTTTTGACCATATGGTTTCACGGTATTTATATTTTTACAGGGGGACGGTATCGTACATTGTTTTTATATGGTTTAGGGGACCCGGGATACTGGGGGTAAAAATATGGGACAGGTACCATTTTGGGACAGGGGGACCATATGGGGACAGGGTACCATTTAAAATAAGGACCCCCATATGGTTTTCAGATACAGGGGTAAATATGGAAATAATCACCCGACTTTTTTGGGTTTTCCTTGGTTTTTTTAGGGATGTGTATGATGATAAACTATGTAAATTTTTCATTTTGACACCCGAATAAATTTACTCATGTGAGTGGGTCATAAGTAAATTTATTTTTTTACACAAATAAAACTAATATAATATAAAACTTTAGCGGGATATGTTTGAGAACTAGGATAACCCCAAAAAAGGGCCGACTTATTTTCCCTTAGGGTCCTGTAAACCCTTTTCCCTATGGTTAATGTACCATATTGGGAAATGTCCTTTTGGTACAATGTTTCCCTATGGTTTCAAAGTAACCATATGGTACAATGTACCATATGGTACAATGTACCATATGGTACAATGTACTATATGGTACATTGTACCATATGGTACATTGTACCATATGATACATTGTACCATATGGTACCACTCTACCATACGATACCATTGTACCATATGATACCATTGTATGACATGGCACCATTGTACCATATGGTACCATTGTACCATATGGCACAATGGTACCATATGGTTCAAAACCATAGAATTCGTCTTCATCTCCACTTCCATCAGTCTTTGAACTGTAAGTTGTGAAGAGGAGAGTCAGAATTCCCCCGGAGAGTGAGTGGGGAGTGAGACCTTCCTTGCCGCCAGGCACAATGAACAAAGCTACTTTGCCAGTGTTCCCACAATGCCATGTGGGCGTCCAGATTTTTTTCTATGGTGTGCACACTGACCACCCAGACCCATTCTCTCGGATGTAGGCCTACCAGCCTTCTCGCGCTAAATGTGAAGCTGCTAGAATTTTGGCGTAGATCTACGGTTTGGACCCTGAACGTAAAGCCGTAGATCTATGGGACGACCCTGAAAGGGTTAAACCGAGTACAGTGGACCCCCGCATAGCGATTTTAATCCGTGCAAGAGGGATCATTGTTATGCGAAATGATTGGTATGCGAATGAATTTTCCCCATAAGAAATAATGGAAATCAAATTAATCCGTGCAAGACACCCAAAAGTCTGAAAAAAAAAATTTTACCACATGAAATATACATTTTCCTACACACAAAGAGAAGAATACATGCACAATAGTAGAGTAGTACATGCACAATATATATTGTGCATGTACTACTCTACTAAATGAAGAATAAATGACACTTACCTTTATTGAAGATGCAGCAATGACTGATGAGACACTGTGTCCTGGGAGTGCCTTTTCCTCCTGAGTACTGTAGGTCCTGTTTGGCATTTTCTTCCAGAACAGGCCTTATCACACTGTGTATGCCACTACGATTCTTAAATCTCTCAAACCAACCTTTGCTGGCTTTAAATTCACCAATATGAGCACTGGTTCCAGGCATTTTTCCCTGTTCACCTGGGTGTTAGTCGACTGGTGTGGGTTGCATCTTGGGAGACAAGATTAAGGACCCCAATGGAAATAAGTTAGACAGTCTTCGATGACACTGACTTTTTTGGGTTATCCTGGGTGGCAAATCCTCTGGGGTTAATTGTTTCTTGGTATTCTCAATAAGCCACACCAACAACGGTGCTACAGCAGCAGCAGCAGCAGCAGCTGACAGTGAT